GCCACCGGTTCTCAACCCGTGAGTCGAGACACTCTATGTCCAAAAATGTTTACATTACGATCCACAACAGCAGCAAATTCACAGTTATAAAGTAGCAAAGAAAATAACTTTATGGTTGGGGGTCATGGCAACGTGAGGAACGGTGTTAAAGGGTCCCAGCATTAGAAAGGCCGAGGGCCACTGTTTGAGAACATTAGGCTGTGGAGAGAGGAGCCAGGGACAGAAATGAGACAGGGTTCTGAATAAGCCTGCAAAGTATTTGTCCCTAACCCAGTCTCCTCAGAGTCATCACCATACATCTCCGAACTGTGGTAGGAATCTTAGGAGCACCAGGGGAATCCATCAAAACGGAAGTAAAATATGCTGAATATTAGTTTAAGGATGGAGTTGAGAAACTGGGGCTTGCAATGTTAGCGAGATGATATCCCCTTCTTTCTCTTCTCCCAGACAACAGCCAGAAGAGAAAAAGTACATGCATATTATTTTAATCTTTGGAGAGGATTTAAGCGCTAACCTATATTTTCTTGTTAATTCAGGTAATATTTTCCATAGTACTGTCCTGAGGCATTTTCCTCTTAGAGTAGGAAAATCTGCATAATTTAGGGCTGCGTTTCATCTCTTCGTGTTGGGGATCATGGAAAGCATGGGGCTGTCTAGATGACATCACTGGCTAGGATGTGGAGACTGCTCTCCCTAGAAAAACCTTTTTGCAGAATTGGTCCATGGCCGAAGTCTAGAAACTTAGTTTCAGGATAGTTCTCTTCGTCCTCTAATGGTAAGCATAACCCCCAGGACTCAAGTGTTTCTAAAAACCTTGGAGTTTACACAGAGCATCTGCTTTCCTTTGGGAGTCTGGGATTTCGTAATGAGACAGAGAACGGCCATGTAAAACAGCCTTGGCATAGAGAAATGAGTCTCTAGCAGAAAATTCATGTGTCTCTCAATAACTGATCAAGAGAGGACCTGTTGGGAGCCGCATTCGCCATTTGACAATGGCGCGGCTCCGTGAGGGAGCCGTGAATGAAAGTGCGCCTGCGCAGGGCGCGCTGGCTTCCCGCTCTCTGGTTTTAGTCAGAGCCAAGCCGAGTGTGCGCATGCGCAAGGCACGAAAATTAATATGCTAATTAGGTGCCACTCAAAGAGCCAATGAAAACTAATATGTTAATTAGGCATCACTTAAGGAGCCAATGAGCATGCGGCACGTTCTCCCAGGACTCTATATAAGCCGTGGGTTCTGGGGCTTGGGGTCCTTCGCCACTACCATCCAAGAGAGCTGTAACACTACCATCTAAGAGAGCTGTAACACCATCTAAAAGAGCTGTAACAAGTAAACTGCTGTCAGAAGAATCCTGAAGTGTGGCGTTCTCCTTATCGGTGAGGCGGTGCGTCACAGGACCTATGATGAGATTCCATCGGAGAGGGAGTCTTGGGCTCCAGTGCTTGGGTGCCTTTGGACTTGGTCCCTGGGCCTTTCTCTTTTCCAGGTTTTCCTTGTCTATTCACAGGATAATAAGCTACGAGTATGAGTCTAGACTAAGTCTCATGCTCTCTCAGGAGATCGTCATACCCAGGATTGGCCTTGGAGGACCCCTAAAAAACAGAAGCGTTTAAGTATTCATGAAGTGTCGTGCAAGTCTCAAGAAGTCCAGAGCTTATAAAAAGAAGATAGGCAAAACATAGCAGGACCCATAGAAGATAAGTCTCCCATAAGTCTCCATAAATACAGGCAGGGTGTGTGCCTGGGACAGTGGCATGCACTGTGTAAAAGGTCACAACAAAAAAAATATGGAATGATACCTCTAAGGCACAGGACATTTGATTCTGTCCTGTACTGGTGACTGTGGTGGTCTGAATATGCCCAGCTCAGGGAGTGGCACTATTAGGAGGTGTGGCCTTGTTGGAGGAAGTGTGTCACTGTGGGGGTGCACTTTGAGGCCCTCCTCCTAGAAGCCTAGAAGAGACAGTCTTCCTTTAATTGCCTTCAGATGAAGATGTAGAACTCTGACACCTCCAGCACCATGCCTGCCTGTGTGCCACCATGCTTCCCGCCACCATGCTTCCTGCCACGATGATAATGGACTGAAGCTCTGACACTGGAAGTCAGCCCCAGTTAAATGTTTGCCTTTATAAGAGTTGCCTTGGTCATGGTGTCTCTTCACAGCAATGAAACTCAAACTAAGACAGAGATTTAACTATCTCCCACTTTTAATGTCCACAGCACTGGGTATGATGGTGTGTGCCTGCAATCTCAGCAGAGTTCCAGGACATCCTCTGCTACATAGTGGGTTCATGGGTGGTCTATGTAACATACATGAAAAAACAAGCAAACTTACAAACAAAACTTGTACCTGCTATTGGCAGCATAGAGTGTGTGCTTGAAAAATGCAAGAGGCCAGGACACCAGAAAGATGACTTTCTGTACCATTCCTACCCCTTTTTGTTTGTTTTTGTTTTTGTCTTGTTTGTCTCTGTTTTGATTTGGTTTGGGTTTTGGACATATGGTCTTTCTATGTTGCCCTCACTATGCAAACCAGGCAAGTCTCCAACTCATGCCTGCCTCTGCCTTCCAAATGCTGAGATTAAAGACATAGGTCATCACATCCAGCCATAGATCTCTATTTTGCAAACAGTAACCAGATAATAAATCAATACACATGGGGCTGGACAGATGGCTCACATGTCAAGACCACTTGCTGTTCTTCCAGAGGACCCAAGTTCAAATTTGAGTACCTACTTCAGATGGTTCACAAATGCCTGGACCTCCAGCTCCAGTACACACACACACACACACACACACACATACACACACGAATGCAAATCAGAAGAAAGAAGGTTAAGTAGACAGCAGTTCCACATTCATTCCCACCGTTTTCTGTCTTTTCCTTTTTCTTTATGACTTCCTTTGATCTCAAAATTACCAGACATCCGTGTCAGTGGGAGAATCTGTGTGACTTTACCAAAGAGCTGATTTCACTTTAATCGAACAGCTTTAATGGTTATTCAGACCAAGAGCCGCATTTGCTCCTGTAGGCAAGTAACTCCTCACTTTTTCAATTCACAAAACATTTTTAGGCAACACCTCATTTGATCCTCATAACAACACTATAAAGTATTTGGACTTTTTATTTCTTTTTCATTTCAGAGGACCAAATGTAGAGCCTCATGCATGCTAGCCAAATGCTCTACCACAGAGCTCCATCCTCAGCCCAACAGACAATGGGACTTTCATCTTTCACGGCACAGTATTCATTGCAGTTTGGCTGGCTGGCTAGTTCTGGCTTTAGAAAAATGAGTGCTCTATAGACACGAATAATCCCTCCAATCTCACCGTGGAGGAACGGGCTAAAAGGCAGAGCAGGCGTTTGGAGGAATTATTAAGATCACAAATTAAGTCACTTCTATGGACTCCATAGCAGGAAATAGATTTTTAATGAGGAAATTGAAGCTAATATGTACCAGCTGTCCTGTTACCCACGGACGAGTATTAAGGCAGATTAAATTATTAATGAAAACTGTAGCAGCCTAGAAACTTAACCTCTTCCCAGTCCCTCCTCCTTTCCACTCTCCCAGCCCTCCATTGCTGTTAGAAGCAGTGCACCTAGTCACACAGTTCATAACACTCGCTTGCTTTACTATCTGGGAGCGGTGGTGTCTGCCTAAGTTGTGGAACCTTGCTTTGCAACAGTGAAATGAAGACGGGAACAAATTCATTGAGTTAAGCAGAAGATCAGGGGAGTCAGGAAAAGTAGCATGTGCAAGGCCTGGCTTGAGGGGAGTTACTGATGAAAGCCAAGATTACTGAGATGTGGGAAGAAGGAAGGACCGATAAATACTTTTTAAACTAATCTCCAAAGTGGGTACTCAGATGATCTACACAATGAGATGCCTGCTATTCAAATTCTTAAATTCCTGAAATACCCCACCCAAGTGAGAAAGTAATGGCTGGCCAGAGCACTCCACACACATCTCCATCTCAGCTGTCCTGGCTTTCTCCTAAGATGGGCCTCATCACGATCTCTCCATTTTCTCCTGTTGCCTTGCATCACCTGAGGTGTTTGCTCTGCGGGAGTAGCAGGGAGTCTCCAAGAAGATTGCTAGGTGGCACCTCCCCAAACACCTACTTCCTTGGCAGCCAAACTGCACCTGACTCATAAGCAAAGAATGAATATTGTTGGGGCTGAGGAGATGGGACATTTGGTAAAGTGTTTTGCCACCATAGGGTGTGGTGATGTGTACCTGTGATCCCAGCACTGGGGAGGCAGGAACAGGAGGATCCCTGAAGCTTGCTGGCCAGTTAGACTAGCTGTGTCAGGGAGCTCCAGATTCAATGAGACAAAAAATAAGGAGGGGCTGGAGACACGGACCAGCAGTTAAAGAGTATGCACTGCTCTTTCAGAAGACTCAGGTTAGGATACCAGCACCCTTATCAGACAGCTCACAACCGCATGAAAGTCCAGTTCCAAGGATCCAATATCCTTTTCTGGCCTCCGTGTGCTCCTGTACCCACATGATATACAATGCACTCACAGAGGCCCAGACACACACACAAGAAGTGCAAGTAAATAAATAGCTAACAAAACAAGAAAAATAAGTTAAAGACAAGGTGGAAAGTGAGTGAGGAAGACATCTGACGTTGGCCTGTGCCCTACACATGCCTGTGCATACATACAAATAGGTACACACATACAAAAACAATATTGGCACAAGCCACTGAGACTTTGGAAGTTGGCATCCCGAAATGGCTAACTGATAATATCACCGCCACACGATTGTTGATGCAACTCCATCAGTTAGGTATAATTTCTTTTTAAAGCATTAGCTTCACACACGCACACACACACACACAGCACATATGAGTGAATATATGGAAGGATAAAGAGAAAAGAGATAAAAGTTCTGTTGACATGATCCCCCCAATCTTCCAGGTAATGGGTGCCAACTGACCAGGAATTAAGAAAAACAGCTGCCTCCAAGCCCAGTCTGAGGTGCTGGGTACTCACGTTAGTGTTGCACAGTTTGTACTGCCGATAGGCCCCGATGCAGGAGATCGCTGTAGATCGAAGATGCTGGGGAAAGACCTGAGCTGCCCCTTGGGGCCTAGCACCATTATTACTGCTCAGTTCCGGGCTATGGAAGAGACTTGAAGCCGCAGGATAGCTTTGATCTTGTGTCAAAGGCAGCTGGTAGACAGAGGCGTCAGAAGGCGGCAATCCAGAACGAGGGCCACTGTCGCTCTGGTAGAGAGGTCTGTTGTGGGAGAACTGATGGGTTGGTGGCCTGTAGCCCTGCTTAGAAGCAGATGCCTCCTGGGACCTGGAGTGCCTGGATGAAGGCCTTTGTCTCCGGAGCCTCTGTGGGGTGTGTGTGGTATCCGTCTGCAGCGGTAAAATGTAGGGAGCCTTTCCATAGCCATACTTGCCAGGGCCAATGGGACCTCGGGTCCTGCTCCTAAAGACAAGCACAGAACAAAGACCAACAGAGTCATGTGAATTGCATACCAACTCAAAGGCTCTGAAACCATGGCTCAGAAGAGACATCGTGGAAGCCAAGACAAGGCTTCCTAGAGACTTAGAGGAGAATGATGCTGGAAACCAATGGCTGGATGGCTTGCAGGTGATGTGAAAGGTTAGAAGTAAGGTTAGAATCACAAGCTGTGGTCAGGGCAAGCCCATTGCACCAGGGAGCTTGGCCATTTCTGCAGGTCATGGGAAGCTACTGGGGTTTCTGAGACCTGTAAAGATAGAATTGCAATTCCAGCATCAATTAGCGCCCCATTCACTCCCCCCCCCCAATAATGTGTTTTTTTCTCACCTGGCTGTGTCTGATATTCCACATGATCTCCAAGACCATGCATAGCCAAAGAGCATTCTTGAGTAAGTAGGGCTTAGCCTGACCCTTGGCATTCTCCCACAGTCCTGAGACCTAACTTGCATTGACTTTAAAAGACCAGAGGGGAATTAAGCAATTGTCTACCGTTGCATCCTTCTCAAGGAAACCCATGCTAAGCAATAAGTCACCCTCATGCTGGCGTGAACCTTTGGGTTTTGTTTTATGTTTTTAAAGATCCGCTGCCTTCTGAGACCGTAAGAATCGCATGCGAAGTGGTTATGCTCATAAACGTTTAACCACTGAATCTCTCAAAGCCAAATGCCCTGATTCGAAGCATTTTCCCGCTTCTACGATGCAAATTCTCCACCTTGGTCAGCTTCGTGCCTCGGGTGGGAAGATGTAGTCATTTCCAATGATCAGGGTGAAAAGAAGCAGAACTGGGGATGTAGCTCACTGGTACATCCTCTATGTGCACAAGGCTTGGTTTCTACCTCAGTACCAGTGCCACAAAGGAAAAGCAAAAGCAGGCCCAGAACTCCACTGCCTGACAATTTCTATAATTACCAATTATTGATAATAATAATTTATATTATTATCGTTTATTTTTATTTGTGTGCAGAAGAGGGTATGCGATCCTCTAGAGCTGCAGTGAGAGGGGGTTTGTAAGCTGCCAGACTGAGCACTAGGAACTAACCTCAGGCCCTCTGCAAGAAGAGCGCACACCCTCCGGCCCCAGGCAAACATCTCAATTTATTATGCAACTGTTGTTGACAAAGCACAGAGCTAGGAATGGTTCAGAAAAACAAAAGGGAACCAGGAATGCATTCCAGGATCCCAATCTCACAAACCAAAGCAGCCATAGCAGAATGCAGGCTAGGGAAAGGACTTTAGAAATAACCCACCTAATTGTGTCTGGGGAATTCTGAGGCAACAGGAAACACAGTGCAAGGGGTCTGAGGAGGTGCCCCCGTCATTGCTCTGAGAGTACAGAAGTCCAGATCTCAGTGCTCTGTAGAAGGACTCAAGCCATCCGATTGTTACTTATTTGTGAAATGACGAAGCTGAATTAAATGACCGCCAAGGCTGCTCCAACTCTAAAATTATATGCTTTCATAATAATTAATTCTACATTTATGTAAAACTGGAAGTGTGCCCAAGGGTTTCTCCAGGATGGCCCCATTAAAATAAGCACATTAAAATAGCAATCAAGGTGAAACATTGATTTCTTCCCTCCTGGGGAAATTCTTTCCCCACTCTATATAACCATGAACATAAAACTTAACAGAGCACAACTAATTATTAACATCTTTATCACTAATTGCACCTTCATTCTTGGCTGATACGGTTTTGAATTAAACTAAGCTGCAGTATTTATTTTGCCTTCAGGCATTTCTCAATTAAACTTGGCAACACTTGGGACTCAGTTAATGGTGAGGCTTTAACAGATGCCATTAAGAAGTTAGTCTTAGAATACACATATGAGTTGGACCCAATTCGCCTTTTTCTTTCTTGTGGCAGGCCAGGTAAAATGAATGACATCATAGGAGGGCAAAAGAAGGAATTTTGGAGTGGGCATGTTTTTAAGTTCTGAAAGCTGACCAAAAAATGAAATCTAGCCCCAAAGCAAGTGCTCAGTGGGGACTTCAGTTGAAGGTAATGGAGAAACTCAGAGCACTGGAGTAGGATGTCTCACAGTTGCTGGTGCCTAAGACCTTGTTAGGATGCGGCTTAGGTAGTCAAGTACTTGCTGTGCAAGCATGAGGAGCTCACTTGATCCCTCCAGAACCCACATGACAAACACTGACCTGCTGGCCAGCCAGCCTAGCTAACCCAAGGAGCTCCAGCTGAGACTTTTTTCTTGGGAAAAAATAAGGTAGTGAATCATTAAGGAAGATGCCGTAGATTGACCTCTACCCTCTTCTGGTGGGTCCAGGGTGGGTGGCAAGAGAACTCACTAGAAGCTTTATAATGAATGCTTTATTTTCTGAGCACCCAGGAAGGTGGCTAGTTCACATCCCTGAAGGGAGATTGTACAACATTTTTATAGAATGGGAACACAAAACGAGGAGAATTAGGGTGGGCTGTTGCATTGACCAATCATATTTTGACACAAGGGGTTAAGCAAGGAAGTCAACATTGGTGACTGGGCCTTATCCAGGCCAGCTGGTTTCAAAGACCTTGAGTCATCTTTTGCAATCATGTCCCCTCCTGGACTCTGGCCTGGAGTTCTGGAATGATAAGGAAGGAAAGGAGTGGGCAAGCTACACATAGTCGATTAACTAGGAACACATTTATGACTTGTGAGCCTTAGTGTAGATAACGGGATAACAGCATCTTCCCTCTTTACATCCTTTACGGGTTAGCAGTCAAACAGGAAACATCTGAAGAAGCAGGACAGGAGTTGAGTTTCAGGCACTGGGAACATGGACTGAATTTTGAGCCTGACAGCAAGGTGGAACTCATTCCTGAGATAGCTGAATTCATAAAACTACCTCCTAACATTACACACACACACACACACACACACACACACACCATGTGCACACACACATCTTCCTCTCTCTCTCTCTATCTATCTCTATCTCTATCTCTATCTCTATCTCTATCTCTATCTCTATCTCTATCTCTATCTCTATCTCTATCTCTATCTCTATCTCTATCTTGAAAGGGACCTTTGCTTGGAGGTCTGGGATAGAGCCTCAATCTCTCTGGAGATCTCAGTGCTGCTGGTCCACAGACCCACAGCTTTGAAGAACACAGTCACAGAACAGACTTGAACTTCAAAACAAAGGGGTCAAAATTCAAGATCAGAAATGCCTGGGTTTGGCGAAGCAAAAGATAATGGCATCGGAACAAAACAAAACAAAACGATCGCTCTGCGGCCTGTGGACTATATGAAAAGGTCTGCTCGCCTGTGGACAGGCTGCCCTGCTCAGTACACACTGATGAAGCCACACCTGCTTGATAACACTTGTGAGCAGCAGAGAAAGCGGCTAGGATAGATGACTGGGAAAGCATCTTCCCCAAAATAGACAGACCCTTCCCCTGGAGGGTAATACACATTTACAAATGTCTAGTTTTCTATTCATTGCTTTTTGGTGTGTGGTGGGAGAAGAGGAGAGGGTAGCTTTTGCCAATCCCCTCAAACTACTTGAAATCTCTTGAAATAACCACACCTCTGAAAAGACAATGGTGTGAAAGCATTCAATGTTCATTCCACCCCTGATAAACAGACTACTAAGAATGAGCGAGCAAGCCAGACATGATCGTGAGCAATTTGATTTCTGAGACCTTGGCTCCAAACTCTGGGTGACCAACAGAGTCGTCCCCACTTAGCTGAGACAGCATTTGTTTTCCTTGTGACCCAGCAGAGCAAACAATCCTGGTGGTTCATGGTGGCCTCTTCCTCACCAAGACAGAGACCATCTGGCCACTTGCAGGGAGCCTCCACAGAATGGGATAAATTTACACAGAGTTGTCACAATAAGCACAGATGTGTCTGGGGGCCCCATGTGGCTGTTTAACCCTTCAGGGAGAGCATGCAGTAGCTGCCCTGGGGAAGAAGTTGGCTTTTTCTTAAGCTTCGTCTGCCAGAACCGAGCTGTGGAACGTCACTTTAGGAACTCCACTTGACATGATTTTAGCTGATTGCAACAAGTTAAGCAATGTGCTGGTTAGGTTTAACTGTTAATTCCACAGCATTTAGAATAACCTGTAGTCACCTGGAAACAGAATTAAATAGGTTAAATTGGCCTGTAGGCAGGCCTTGTTAGTTGATATAGGAAGACCCAGCCCACTGTGGGTGGCGCCATTCCTTAAGTTGGACCCTGAAGTATGTAAGAGTGGAAAGGGTTAGCTGAGAGCAGGCAAGCAGGCAGCACGGATACACTTATTCTTATGTCTTCTCAGAAGGAATCATTCCTACCTGGATGTCCCCTTAATAATGATCCATCACCTGGAACTGTGAGCCCAATAAACCCTTCCCTCCTGTGTGGCTCTCAGTCAGGGTCTGTGTGAAACATATGAAACTGCCACAGGCAGTAAGGCTGAAAAGCTACAGTTCAAAGAAGTGAGAGCTGTGGTCTAAGACATATACATAGCCCTGAAGCCAAGAACCATGGGTTTGAACCTCAGCTCTGCCACTGTTGGAGAAGAGGCCAGAGGACTTGCTTAGGAGCCTTCAGTAAGTTACTTGATCTTTATGCCTCGGTTTCTCCTAATGGGGTCAGAACAAGGTTCCGGCTCAGTGAATCACTAGGATGTGACATGTCTGGAGATACCCTCCAGGCAGGCAAGTGACACCTGAAGCCATTAGTGGTAGTGTTTATTTACATGCTAGGAATCTCTGCCTCACTCCAACCCCAGTGCTAAGCCCAAACTCATTCATAAAGATCATGTCACAGTTTGGTCATCCCGACTATACCACAGTCCTGAGCATCAACCCCCATTCCTGCCTCTAGGCTAGCCTATGGGATAGAAGTAAATCTCCTAGTAGGTGTAGGTGTGTGTGTGTGTGTGTGTGTGTGTGCGCGCGCGCGCGTGTTTGATCACAATAAGCTTGTGATTTGTCAAGTTTGAAGGAGGCCTGATTCTGCAACTGTGACAAGCCCTTTGGTGTC